TATATATATATATATAACCACTTCTACATTCACTTTTCCCCATTAAAATGTAAACTAAAGGTTATCCACATTTTCAATGATTTTGCGTGTACTTACGTAGCATTACTAAACCCAACATACTCATTGCCCGCCATTTTATTGAGGAACTGCATGACCTATAGAGGTAAAAGAGGTCAGATGTTAAGTAAATATTGGCAAGACTGGTATGTCACCCTTTGCTTTCTTTCCTGCAGTAGCCCAATCTTCCCTAGTGACACTCATGGTCCTCCTTGCCAAGCCGGACGGTGATAAGGAACATCCTCACAACAGTGCAAAGGACTAATACCTAAGACTGGGTAAATCACATTGATGCGGGATTAGGCAACAGCTTAGGCCATGGCATTTCCAAACGACCAAGGTCAGGATTTTTTCAGTTTACATATTGTAAATTTTAAAAAAAATTAAAAGATCAACTCCGGGCTCAGCCCCGCCACCCTCCTAAAGCCTTCCCGTACTGTATAATTTGCTTTTTTTTTGTCATACTTACCTTTTTCAGATGTTAACAGGCAAAATCACACGAAGCACTGGGTCTTCCCCTTTGGCTCTTATTCAGCCCATGACAGTCCTCTTGTAATGCAGAGAGCACCACTGGCAATGATGACGTTGGTGGAGCTCTCCGCTTCAATGCACTATAAACGAAGGGCCCCCGTGTTGATAACCCATAGGTGGTGGTGTCAGGATACCCTGCATTACCAGCATGCAAATACGTACTGCATACAATTTTTATTATGCCTTGACATACCCTTTAAGCAAACTTGCTGGAAGGGTTGTAAATGAACAGAACTAGAGGGCTGATAGTACACAGCGCTTACCATTGAGGAAATATGCATCAATGAAGGTGTAGGTTTCCAATGATCACCTCCTTCTGAAAATGCTTGTAACCTGGCTGCCTCTGGCTTATCCATGCAGTCAGTGGCGCAAGGAAAATACTGAAGCCAGAAATATACAGGTAAATAGCATTTTCAGAAGAAGGTTAATGGAAGGACGGCAGCCCTGGCAGACTCATATGGAGAGCATGTAGGCCCCTATCCCTCAATGCAATGGCCAGGGCCTGTCTGAGTGACTAGTCAGCAGGGTCAGGCACAGACATCAGGGAGGCATACAATCATATAAAATCACTGCCATCTGAAAGTCCCTATTTTCATATCCACTGAGGGGACAGCACTGAGAGGGCAAAAGTTTAGATAAGTTGTATGTCCTGACATCTTTTGCTATCAGTCCTTCCTGTTAAATTAGGATTTCCTCGACCATGGTCATTTTAAGCATATTGTATATTAATGTAAAAATGTTTCAATGCATTTAAAACAAAGTATATAAATATTTTTATTATTATGCTATAAGCAATTAAATAATGCAAATGTAAAGGAAATTATATATCTTCAATACTTACATAGTCAAATTTTTCTGCATTGCCTGCTCCTTGCTGTAGGGAAAGACAACACAACTTAATGTATATGTACTCCATTATGCTTAATCTTTACAAAATGTGACAGTCGCTGAATATTTTGATATAGAATATACAATGACTACCATTAGGATAAAAATGAAATGTTTTGTACTTGGATGAAAGTTCCGATTTTCCTTGTGCTACACTCTAGGCTAGGGGTAGGCAATGTCGTCACTCCAGCTGTTGTGCAACTACAAGTCCCATTAGACATTGCAGACTGTCAGCCATAGGCATGAGTCCCAGAGGCAGAATCAGATTTGTAGCTCACCAAAGCTGGAGTCTCGGAGTTGCCTACCCCTGCTCTAGGCTATATTTATAAAGAGTCACATATTAGATTCACCATCTGTTGGCTGATTAATCATTTGCCTGCTTTATAAAAGGAAGTTCCCTGCCATTATTTTATCATATATTCACCAACATTTGGATTTCTCCTTTTCCTGTTGCAAATTTTAGAAACAACTGCAGTACTCAAGGTAGGGAATGTTACAATAACACCTATTTTGCCATTTTTACAATACCAGCAAAAGGGGAAAACAAAGGCAGAAAAATAAGAGTGGATTCCAATTTATCCTCAGACCAACAACAGTTTCCCCTTAAGGTTCTTCGGATTAAATGAGACACATTGTCAGATCAAGCTCTACCTACAGCCTTGGTAGCCAAAAACGCAGCACCAGTTGTGGTTTAGCTGCCATTTAAACATTGTAACAATAAAGTAAGTACACCTCTTTTTCTACCATCAAGCGTAAATGAAAGATTTCCAGATCTTTCATACAGCCACAATGTGTAACTGCAGGACATGCAGCTCATTGGCTGCTGAAAATATGTATGTTCTATTCTATCAGGACTGTTTGAAGCCAAGCAGCCTGAGCGCAGACTTCATAAAAAGGTAAACACACCAGTCCTTCTGGCACTAACTACACTTTTTTGTGAATAAGAAGGGAATAGAAAGGAAACATACAAGAATGATTAGTAGATCTAATAAAAAATAATGTATGCATTTACTTGTTTACATTTAGAAGCCTGTGACATAAATACAAATGCTTAATAACATACCTTTATTAAAGAAGTGATCACAATAGCACCAGCATTCACCATTGGATTGTGTGGTTTATCTGCAAAATGACAATACATCAAAAGCTATTCTAGACATGTTTTTTCATTGTGAAAGCTAGGCTAACCTTAGATAAAGTCATTTTTGTATCCGGTACCAGAATTGGACATGCGTCCAATTCTTTTTTGATTCTGCCAAATTGGGCCAATCACTTGGGGGGGTGGGTGCTGTACACATAGGAGACGTGAGCAGATCCGGGAGAGCTTAGAGAGCAGTGTCTGCCCAGCTGGCCGAGGGACATCTGTGGTACGGTAATGGATGCTGCTGAGGATCGATGTGAGGGGAATGAGGGGTCTGCAGGGTGGAGGTTGTGCCACCATATTGTCAGATCTGTTTGGCCGGCCTTGATGCCGTTTTGCTGGGAAGCCGGCCCTATGACACACCGCCTGGCTCCCTGATTGCCTGGGAAGCCGGCCCTAAGCTACTCCTATTGGTACTCGGTATCGGCGAGTACCGAAATATAAATATCGGTACTCATACTCGATACCGAAAAACTGGTATCGGTGCATCCCTAGTTATCACGCTGTCTTAATTGTGCTTTGTGATCTGATGCATCATATATTAATAAACCCTACATAGACTAAAAGCAAGATCTGGAATTGATGTCCTTTATTCAAAGACTCTACGTAACAGAACAGTCACATGGCTAAAAGGTATAATCAATACCGTAAAGAAAATAGGTGTTATAGCTTAGGGAGATAAGCCTGAGTAGAAGAGAAAATTACACTAGACACTAATATGCCAAGTGCTACACGGGCAGTAAACTTTGAGAAATTGATGGATTGTCATGTTCAAGTGAACACCAAGAGGAAATCTAACCAAAAAACAGGGTCAAGTGCTATCTTTTTTGTGATAGCGATAAGGATCAAGCTTCCTTTCAGCAGTACAATAGTATTTATATGCCTTAATTGTTAAAGGTCATGTGACTCACCTTGGACTTCATTTCACAGTTCAAAACTCTAATAGTCTCACAATTATAGTAAATCACTGGGATCATACATGTCCACATGGGGACATAAGGGGAGGAATTATGCATATGTTAATAAACAAGCATGCAAGTCGCTGTTCAGTCAGATACTCTAACAAAATGTGAAAAAATCTGGGAACCTTGGATCGCTTCCTACATGTCACCAACCTTTCATTTAGACTCGCTCATTATCTAACTTCCCCACCACTCCCTCTCTCCTCTTTTCCCCCTACTGCGCTTCCCCCCTTTCCCCCCTACTGCGCTTCCCCCCTTTCCCCTTCCCTTGCAATGTGTCTCCTTCACTGGATCTGTCTCTGGGCAGTGCCTGAGGGGTGGCTTAACCACCCCTTTTAAAGATATACGATAGCCGTGGATTAAGTCATGGTTGTACGGTTTAATGTTTATGTTTGATATGTCTGTACTGATGCACAACACTGTCTGATTTCCATGTACATCTGACTTTATTAAGCTGTACGTACAGCTTTTGGACTTTTGTTTAAGATATTTACGTTTGCAGAATTTTCAAAATCAATAAAAATTGATTAAATAAAAAAAAACAAAAAAAAACAAGCATGCAAGTCAGTGAAACGGGATCACCTGCTCTAAATACTTGTTCCAGGTCTGACTAAAGCTACAAGGATCAGCATCATAACCAGGAAACTAGTATTTTTAGAAGGGGTGGTCAGTAATGGCAAACTGCATGCTTTTACAGTATGGGTTTGCTAAAAAGTGCAACAATTATGTCTGAAATGCAGTAAGCCGCAGCAAACCAATAACATTTCAACTGAAGTCAGTTTACTGGAGTGAGGACAAGCAAACAAGATTGCTGATTGGTTGCAAAGTGTTACTGAGCTCTTAAGATCTGTCTCTGCTTTAATGAGTGGGGGGCATGATATCACAGACATATCTACACAAAGATAATTCCGGGAAAAAAATTAAAGAACCTTACACGTTCAGGTTAAACCAACAGGGCAAACTGGACCACTACAAGTATCTCTTGCTAAAACATCAATGCTTACCATCTTCATCAAGAAAGAGCTTGTTAAACCGTAACCCGCTGGGTTCCTTCCCAACATATCGGTGGACATATTCTGTACTAAGATCATTTACTGCAATGGCGTATTTCAGAGGCTTCACACAAGACTGTAGGCAGAAAGGTACTTTGGTATCACCCACTGAATGCCTATTAAAAAATAAAAGTCCATTGTAAGAGCACAGATTTTATAGCAATACAGGCTATTGATGTTAACTGTACAATACAATGAAAGTGCAGCGCTCTACAATCTATAATAGTGACCAGGTATGAAACGTTGTACATAAAGAATGATACAATCTTTCTGGTGAGAAACGCAACAATCAACTCCCAAAGTGTTAGTGTTACAAATATGACATAACCGTATATTGCACAAATAAAATCTCTTTAGTTCTTTTTCATATTTGCTCATGAGCACATTGTGCCAAACTCATACATATACAACTTTTCAAGTGCTGAAATCAAACTCCCACCTGCAATGGTGTCTTATCCACTGATGCCCGTGACACACTGCACGATAAGCCGTGCAGAGCGAAGCAAGGCTGTCCAGCACGGAGCTTTGCATGCAGTGTGAGCTGAGTGCAGGCAGATGATTGACTGCACCTTCATCCAATCGGCTCATGCGTAACAACCTGCCAGACGTCGCATCCTGACACGCGGGTTTATACGTGCGAGCCAATTGGCTGAAGATTAAATTTTTCATCTCGGTACGCTCAGCTATGCGAGCTGAAAAATGACATGACACACTGCTCACGAATGCAACGCCCCACGCTCCGTGTGTCACAGCCTTTACTCTGGGATGGAGATGGCCTTCATACAATGGAAAGTATGACAGGGGTGTGGAATTTAAAAAAAAAATTACTTGTCCAAGGACTGTCACTCATGACAATCTACGTGATACAAAAAAACAATTTTAACCCAAACCATATTTAACCGTGATCACTTGACCATGCTGCCCAACAAGTGTTTGCAATTTGCGAGCGAAATTAAAAATCCATAACACAGGGCAGCGCTGAAAGGCAGTATGGGGTACAGGTGTACTATCTGTACCCCATACTGCTGTCCAATTACTTACTTCAATGCACATTGTGCCTGTTGGAGAATGCTGCTGCCCGGCTACCACAATATGGCACACAGTGGAATGGGGCGGGGCAGTACGTGTGCACACACATGCAGACACACACACAATATGTTTATTTGAATGCAGATAATTTGGGTAGCGAGTTGGTTTTAATTGTGTTTTTTACATTTCTTTTATTTAATTTTTAAAAAAAATTTATCACTTTTTATTTGTATTTACTTTATTCTTTATTGCTATCACACAGGGGATAACAAGCCCCTATGTGATAGCGTATGGAGGTGACAGGTTCTCTTTATGGAGCCTGCCCTCCAGTACAGAAGATCGAGCATAGCATTGCGCTCGATCGCCTGCACAGCTTGCACGCAGCAGGGCTAAATGTAGAAAAAAAACAACCTGCCCGGTGCCTGGAACTGCATTCCCCAGGCATCAGGCGATAGAAATCGGGCACCCCTGTATGAATAAAAAAACAGAATATTTGGAAAGAATAAAAAAATTATACTGTACTTTACCTTTGACCATCCACTGTACAAATGGAAGCACCCCAGAGATCCGGGCTAAATTTTGCCAGTTGAGGAATGTAATCTGCAACCTGTAAAAGATTACAGATAAAGAGATAAATACAAATAGCATTTGCACTCAAAATATTACATAAGGCTTGATAATAAAGATACTGTAAAAATAATTGTGTTTCATTGTCCAAAATAATTACATTTTACTTATTTATATGCCACAGAACTTTACAGAAATTAATTAATAGCAGTACTAAACTTCGAATGACCTACCAAAATTATTCACACATATGTACCTTAAGGCCACCCTTGGGTTGAACACAACCTACAAGTCTGAATTGGATTATGTAATGAAACAAGAGAAGCCAGGGAGCAACATGCAAACTCTATGCAGATGGTCCTCATGGGAATTGAAAAACCCAACACTAAAATACTAAATCATTCTTTTGTAAGATTTTTACTTTCCTCTAGGAGAAAAAACCCATACCCCTTTTTCAAACTTGCAACCATTGCCTGTAGCTTTAAAGGGTCAGTCCACCAAAAGCTGATTCATGGCCGGACAGTTTCCTAGACTTCGAGAACTCTACTGGTAAGTTCCAGGGTGCCCCTGTAGAATGTGTGCGATTCTTCTAGCCTAACAGGTGACAACATCAAAGACTTATCCTGCCTCTGATTATCGGACTTATCCTGCCTCTAGGAACAGGAGAATCTGCTGACACCACTTCCAGTGCATGTAAACCCAACAATAAAATGTTATTATATTGCAGTTTACTAGTCCTTGGAGTTTGTGGCTGCGTTAGTTTCCCTTTCTATTCAGACTATTTTGCTTTTATTTTCACCAGTTAACTCCGCCAATAACACACTTCCTGTCCTAGAGTGACAACTCACTGCACTGTATGAATTTATGTATGTATGTCTGTATGGAGGAGCAGCATTGTAGTCCAAATTAGAAGAGCAGCTTAAGGTGACAAATAACCCCATCTCCATTATATAAAGGGGCGTTGCTTTGTTGTTCGCAGAAGTTAGCTGTGAAAGTTGACATTTGTTTAAGAATTCATATTAGTTCATAAGAAGTAACAAAGACACAATATTTTTGACAGATAAATAGAATTTGTTTCTTGTACTTGCACTTAAAAAAAAAAAAAGAAAAACTAATGGCGTCACCACATCAAGGACTTGTAAGCTGCAATATATTATATTTGTGTTCTCAGGTTCAGCTTTTCTTTATGTTGGCTGCCTCTCAAACACACAGCATGGTGCAATAGATGTAAAAATTGGTCCTAGATAAAGAAACAACTGCAGAATGCCTGTTAGTGCTATACTAGTGGACAAATTTACAATATACAGTATATTCCAAGGGTAAGCAACCTCGGCACTCCAAATCCCAGATGGCATTGCAAGACTCTGACAGCCACAGGCATGATGGGATGTGCAGTATGACCACAGCTGGTGTGCCGAGGTTGCCTACCACTGATGGATCCAGGACAGACATACAGGGCAGCACAGTGGCATAGTGGTTAACACTTCTGCCTTGCAGCGCTTGGGGTCCCTGGTCCCTGTGCTTGCATTGGTTTCCTCCTGAGAACTCCAGTTTTCTCCTACACTCCAAAAGACATACCGTATTTTTCACTCCATAAGACGCACTTTTTTCCCCCCAAAAGGAGGGGGAAAATGTGCCTGCGTCTTATGGAGCGAATCCCGACGCCCGAGACATGCAGTTTCGGGCGCCGGGCGAGTAGTAGGAGCCACTGCTCGTTTAATACGAGTGATCTAATGAGATCACTCGTATTAAAGCCGAGGAGCAGCGGCGGCGATCACGTTCAGCAGTAGGAGCCACTGCTCGTTCAATACGAGTGATCTAATGATAAGTAATAAATAAATACACAATAATACAGACAATTTTGTTTCTCCAAAAGAGGCTTATATTGCACGTGTAACTAAAACTGTGTTAACATGTCTACTAATGTATTCCCAGAAAGGAACAGCTCTGTGGTGAAATTATGAATAACGTTTAAGGGACAACATTGGTTGGAAAGCACTACAATATTAATTGCAGCTGGATAACAAGGTGTTAACAAGCACCAACAATGTTATTTTTCTCTTTTCTCTAACACATTTATTAATATACACTTCCCACAAAAAGCCTCCACACATATAATGGAGTCAAACAGACTTGGAAAGGAAAAGATGTTATGAGGTCATGCAGGAAACTTACAAACCCAATAGTTTTAAATAATGGGAAGGATACAGAGCAAAAGAATAAAGTAATACTTGGCATTTGGGGCATTGAGTAGAGTACTGTATGTGCTTTGCTAGTCATATGAGTGTTTAAAAATCTACTAGCATTGCACAGCTTCACTATTTTGAGGGATATCCAAATTTTGCACATACTGCCTTGTAAAAGGCATTTGAAAACGGTGCTCATATATAAAACATTGGTCATATTAAGGGACAACCTGTCCTCCCCAATTAGAAGGATTTTGTATTACCCTCCTTGGGTCACTTAGCATGCCAAAAAAAAAACTGTTCAGGAAGTTTAAAGTATATAAAGGAAAAAGGACTGATAAGTATATGGAAATCATTCTATTTCAAGAGTTTAAGCTCTATATGGCCCTCCCAGTCCTCTTTTGCATTTGCGTGGGATATAAAAGGAGAACTATGAGATGAGTGATTTCCACTCACCTCATAGTTCTAGCCGACCTGTGACAATGAGACTGTCACAGGTCGGCTCAGTAGATCGGGAGGTGAGCGAACACATACCAGGTTCGCTCACCTCTCGATCCTGTCACGGCTCTCTGCCGTGACAGGGGGAGGGGCTGGATTCCCCTCTCCCCGCTCCGATCTGCCAGCGCTGACTGGCGGAACAGACAGGGGAGGGGGCGGGTACAGCTGGCTCTGCCTCTAGATAGGCAGAGCCAGCTGTCACTCACGCAGCTGGGCAGATTCCGTCATCTACGTCGGGATCCGCTCCGGCGTCTCAATATACCGCAAGCTGTAGCTCGCGGTATACCGAGCTTAGGGTAACGGGAGGATGCTAGTTTGTGTCCTCCCGTTACCCTAAGGAGAACTATGGGGAAAAACACTGACCCCATTGTTCTCCTTTAATATTGCAGATAGATGAATGGGATCAAACTTATCCTTGTCAGGATTTCATTTGTAGGAATAAGGGTGGTAGCTGGGAAAGCCATTAGGATCATTTTTAAGAATCTATTGTTGGTTTATTTTTTACTTTGTTTATTACATAGTTACATAGTATTTGAGGTTGAATAAAGACATAAGTCCATCAAGTCCAACCTATTGTGTGTATGTATAGGGCCCTGTGTCATCTCATTCTTAAGAGTACCTGTACCCCTGTACATTACGGTCTCTCAGGAAATCGTCCAAAAGCTTCTTGAATGATTCCACACTATTTGCTGAAATCACTGCCTGGGCAGAGAGTTCCAGACCCTAACCGCTCTAACTGAGTACTTATTGATGTATGGAGTTTTAATGACCATAATAAATTATGTAAATATGAAAATTAGATGGAATATTTACAGTACCTTGAAAAAGTGTATTTGTAGAAATTGCATGCCTACGTTTAAAATATATCTAAATCCCTCCCCCCATTTCCCCATTCCCAATTCTGAATGCAGTAGGAAAGGGTTAAAACTTCTGTCAGGTTTTTTAAAATTTGTATCCATGTCTCATTAGAGAGATTTCCCTTCACTTGCTCTCATGTAAACTTAACAGGAAGTTAGAGCTACAATCATGTTGAGTCCCACTCTGCTTGTTGCTTTTGTAGTGCAACTCCAGTCACATACTCTCTAGTTTTCAATACAGAGGGGTAGAGGGTAGAATCACTGTCAGTGTTTTTTATGTCTGCATCCCCATTTGTGAGATTCCCCCTCACATTCTGTCCTGGAATCCCAATAGAGAGGAATTCTTTCTGAAATGAGGAATACTAACACCTTTGACTGTTGTCATCAGAAAAGGTGCCCCTAATGGGAGATCACTCCTCACCTTTTGTTAGGATGACAGCGGTGTAAATTTCCTTCAGCACCTATCCCAGCAATAACGGTCATTAGAACAGGAAGTGAGGCTTTAGCTCTCAATGGGAACACCAAAAACCCAACAGAGGTTCTAAGTCTAACCCTTTCCCCACTTTATCTAAAGCTGGTTTGTCATGCAGTAACATTTTGCTGAATGTATTCTCTCCGATTTACACAGAACAGTCTTCTTAGATATAGTGACTGAACCTCTACAAAGCTCAGAGAGTGGGTGGGGGAACTCTTGTCTCTTTACCTGCACCATACCCAGGGGACTTTCACCACCTACACATTTGCAACAGTGACTAAATACATACTGACCTCATTAGCACTGGAGTCCTCAATGTGATCTTTGGTGACTCACACAACACACATTAATAAGAGTATCCGAGGTTTTTTTTTTTTTTTTTTTTTTAAACAGTACCATAAAGAGCCCTAAAAGCAGCCTCAATGTAATTTTCCTTAACTATACATCATTTTGCTCAACTTTGCTATTTCCACCACACTGAGCAGCATTCCTCTCTTCATCGATTTACTGACCTTTTCTTATGCATTCTAACATAAGCAGACACACCAAACCTTTTACCAATTATTCCAGCTACAACTATGCCTCTATGTTATGAAAATATACGTATATCCTGCCTGTAATATTAAGCTTAAAGAGGGGAATTTATCATAGCAATTGCGAGTGTTTGAACTTGCACGGAATATATTTGATGCACTTTGCGCCAGATTTATGATGCTAGTGTAATGTTGCTCATAAATGAGAATAAATAGACTACAGGAAAAGAGACTTGTAACTCCAGGCAAGAAGCTTAATTGTCACTTCTTGAAGAAGTGGTCATGGGGACTTCTTAAGTAGCAATTATTTTTTTAGGTGTTGCTCCAGTTTCAGACAGCAGCAGTACACGTGCAGATGTAAACAATTGCGAACTTTCGCAAAACACGTGCAATGGGAAAATTAGTGCAAGTTCTGGTCAAAACAGGCGCACATGTTTAAAAAAAGCAGCTAAACAGATTTGCACATTAAAAAAAAAAAAAAAAAAAAGATCTAAGAGGCTAAAAAACTGTCGCAGTTGCTTTGATAAATTCCCCCCAATGAGAAGAGCTGTTTAAGTGAAGGAATTATGAGCAGAACAGACATGAAATGCTGGGTCCTGTAGTTTCACAGACACTGATGAGGTACTGCTTGTATGAACGCAAAGGAAGCCAAGGAGAAGCTGAAAAAGGAATCACTACACTACCATCTGATGACATTCACTAAGGGCGCTATAAAAAGGGATATTCAGGCTTGCCAAGCACACCAACAATAAAGAAAGGGGTGAAGCAGGGGATAAAAGCCATGCATGGGCCAGCCAGGAGTGTTAGAAACCACTTTAATGTATCTAATGTGGATACCCTTGTATCCACATTCACCTCCATCTGGGCATGCACAATCCCTCCCTGGATTGTTAACACTTACGTAGCCCCACGCTAGACTCACAATGTCCACAAATCCCAGTACACCCATGGACATCCATGGACCCGCCACTGCTGGACTACAGATCAAGCCAAACCTCTGATAAAATCTTGCGGTCATTCATCCATAGACTGACTACATCCATGGTCCCTCACATGCTGAAGATAACTGTGGAAACCACCTAATGTATCTATATACAATTTAATCGAAACTTCACTCCATCTGGACCTGCACAACCCTTCCCTAGATTCATAACACTTGCACAGCCCCACACTAGACTCACAATGCCCACAAATCCCAGTTCATAACTCTGACATCCATGTATCCCCTACCTTTGGACTGCATATCACCCAAAACCTCTGAAGAAGGCAGCGCTCACCCGTCCTCAGACTGAGTACACCTATGGCCCCTCACATGCTGAATAAAACTGTGGAATCCTACTCTTTTGCTCCTGGACTAATCTTATTCAATAACCAGACACGCTATTTCTAGCACTTCATAATCTTCTCTTGTGGAGAACACCCAATGACTATTGTGTATGCAACCACTTTCTGGCTGTCCGGTGTCTGGAACCACCAGTCCACACACTGAAATCCTATTGGTTAGGCATGTACATGAAGAAAACAAAATCTGCAACATCAGGGGTGAAGTTTACCTACAAGGGAGCATGCACAATTTTACAGCTAATTGTGTGCACTCTCAAGTTGCATCCAGGAAAAGTTAGCAGCACCCAGACACCAGTGCATGTGACAATGTATACTGAAGGATGCCTACAAGTCAATTGCGCTCAAGGATTCCATTTCAGAGCTGAAGCTTGTTGCTGACCTATGCTTTCTCTGGTATCTGATAACTTGCTGTTCCTGTTTCACCCTGACTTGTTTTGACATTTGCTGAACTCTTACGGTTCCATACACACTTGGCCGCTTCTTTCTGTTGGCAGCTTACTTCATTCCTATTTTTGCTGACCCCTGGAATATATTCCGACCTTTACTATCTGCCTGTTGAACTGGAACTAGCTACGGACACTGCTGCAAGCTGGAGGCTAAGTGATGGGCATTGTGGCACCAGGATCCTGGATTCCATCCCCACAAGAAATATTGTGAGGAGGTTACAACTCTAAGTCTTCCTGGGTTTATTTGGCCTTGCATTGGGAGCTTCAATTTAAAAATAAACTAGAAAATTTAAAGGAATCTGGCCACAGAGTGTATATTGGTGAGGTAAATACATTAGATGTAAAGCTCCTTCAGATGAAGGGAACCTTTTCAATGGTTCTACATATGTAAAGTGCTGTGTAAGAGCTAGAGATGAGATACAGCTAGTTTGTGGACCCAGCAAACTATTATGGCTGATTTTGACCATTTCCCCATCCAAACTCCTGCACTGCTGTAATGTAAACACAGCACCAGGGATCCTGTAAGACATCATTGACCAAACATGGACATGCTCATATTTAGTCAATGACATCACCAGGGATCCACGACAATCTGTTTACATTATCAAAGCGCCAGAAATTTTTTGACTTTAGTGATTTTTGTTTATTGTATTTTTTTGTATTTAAAGCACTTTTAGTAAGTTGTTGGAAGATATGTAAGTAAGTTGGAAGATATGTGGCCGGTTTGGTGCAGAAAGGAACAGGGGATGGGGGAGGGAGAGCACTCTTGCTGCTCTCCTGTTGCTGGCCACCCATGCGGCATGCCTTGCTTGGATAAGGGTCTATTTAGGAGAAACCCCAAGACATTTTTTCCCTTGTTTTTTTTTTAATGTGTACTGTCACTTTTAAAGGATTATAATCATACCGTTTCATAACACCACATGCAGCTTTAAGACATCCCTAAGCATGTTACTTAAAGAACGTGTGCATTTTTAATGGTGCCCTTTAAGTCACATGAAAAGACCCACTACCGGCTGTCAGTATTTTCTAAAACATTTTTTGCATGTCCCCACAGCAGTGCTCAGCTACCAAAGCCCTTTTTTCATCAACTAGTAGCCTTGAAAAATGCCAGAATAAAATGGCTAGTGTCACCTCCCATAGACTTCTATGTGTTTTGGTGCTACATTTAGTGTTTTGCGGAGTTCGCGCTGGGTGCCTTTACTGCTTCTCTCAACCAAAAATAATAGAAGATATTAGGTTTAGGGATTAGCCAAATTTTGGTGAAATTCCACCGCCCCCCCAAAAAAAAAATATATAAAAAACACAGGAGCGAAGCCTTTATGATTTGACAAAATATACCAAATCAGCTTTTACTGGATTATCTCGCTTTTGTTAAATGTTTAATAAAAGGGTACATCAATTTAGGGCTGCAACAACTAATGGATTTGATCAATTAATCGATAAGGAGAATCATCAACAATTCTCATGATCAATTAGTTATTTCTGCCACCGCCGCTGCTATGCTCCACCGTTTTCATCCTCTATGGGAGCTGCTGAATGCAGCGGTCTATGTCCCCTTCCCTCCCCACCTGTATCAGCAGGGGCAGTGGAAAGGGTAAGGGACACAGACCGCTGCAGCTGCTGTGCCTCTGCATTCCCCATGCCTCCGTTGCTCCCCGTGCCCACACTGCATCTCTATTGCTCCCCCGTACCCCTGCTGTGGCTTAGTTGCTCTACCCCGCTGCTGCCCGCCCCCCCTCTGTAGCTCAGCTGCTGCCCTGTGCCTCTGCTTCCTTTCAACTACCGATTGTAGAAATAGCCAGCCTGCTATTGGCTATTTTGAATTGCAATAGCCAACAGCAGGCTGGCTTTTGCACCCACCCACAGTCTGCTGTCAATCAGCAGAGGAGGACCTGAAGGAGAACTTTATCCGTTGGTCCCTTATCTGCTGTTTGACAGAAGGCAGTGGGTGGGTGTAATAGCCAGCCTGGTATTGGCTATTGCAATTTCCAAAAAATTGGGGGGAAAAAATTGGGATGGGATCAGCCAACTAATCCATTATGAAAATAATGGTTAGCTGCAGCCCTACATAAATTGCCCAGAGCAGGTAAATATGTTGAAATGAATACTTCCACAAAAGAAAAAAAATGTATTTTGACTTTTTATAAATAGCACACTGTTTTCAATTCACTTATATTTGCAAAGACATATGGTTTTTAATAAATCTGTAAATATAAATGGCTGAAGAAGCACAATACTATAATTGACATTACTGAACATTACCTTCCCACCGGACAATTTTTTGGCAGTTTCATATAGTTCATCAATATGTGAGGTAAAGGACATGAAATCTGGAATGACAAATTTTCTTCGAAATGCTTGTGTGAGCAGCACAATGTTGCTTTGTACACACCTGAGAAAAAGCAAACAACAGATTAAACTATGTGGCATTAAACATCAAGTAATGTCAACTACAAGAACTTTAATATCTTAAAGAAAACCCATCTCATAGGACATGAACTAAGATCTGCATGTGTTAGACCTAGGGCTAGAAGTAGTGACTGATTGCTAAACAAAGGAATCAAATTCCTCCTTATGGTGTAAACTACAAAACATAGCATATAGTAAGGACCAATTCCACACAGCTGAAGCATTGTCTGATCATGCAATATTAAATACTAAAACACGCTCCTTGCATATAAAAAGCATATAGGCTTGTCCAGCTCCTGGTGTCCTACCAAAACCAGGAGAACACTAATAAGTCAGGTTCAGTCTTTGGCCTTCATCGAAATTAATTTGCATGAGGGAAAGAAGGGTTACCCAGGTTAAGGTATAACTAGTAGTAGTTAGTCATATTCAGCTAGACTTGTGAATATTGAAGACATTTTGCTGTACTATTCACTTGGGATGCAATGATATATCGGCCGCCGAAACATATCGGCCGAAAATGGCACTTTTGGCATAATGCCGAAAGTGGCATTTTCCTGCCGATACATCGGCGCAT